TGCAAGGAAACAGTATGTCAGGATATCCAAGACGCACTGGGTGTATGCTACTGAGGGCATCGGGAAATTAACGCTGCTGAATTTGGTAAGTTTCGTTTGTCCAATGATTATCATACGAACTGCTATACACAAATTGTGTTAAGGTTACTTAGATTCGAACCTGGTTTTATGGCATGAAGTGAGACCAAGCTCCATTCAGTTCTTCGTTGTCAATGATGGTCAAAACCTAACAGTAACCAAATTTGGAGACCATCAATTGACTCTTATTCAAGAGAATTGGTTTCCACCCCAACTAGGGGAGCTAAATGAATTAAAATTTGCAGATAATATCTCATGTTATGATGAGGGCTGATCGTGCATTTGAATCCATAAAACATCCATTTGCCACGTGGACAGAAATATATGTACTGTAATACGAATCCGATATTTGGACATGATTACAGCGAGTATCAAGTATGACAGGTCAGCTGTATCAACATATACATGGATCATTGTTAAATTTGTTTGTATATCTGATGTACATGACGTAGTCGCGTAACATGTTTGCCATTGCGTCACATTAAATCTGTCTGAAGTGTCGTCACTTTAACCCCCGCCGTGAAATTGCTGGAATATTATTGCTAAAAGCGGCGAAAATCATACTCACTCGTCATTTTATCTTTTGGTACAAAGCGCTGGCCTTATATGAAATACAGTATTACGAATTCTTACATTTTTAATAGAATTAATCTGTCTTAATCAATTATCAGACAAATCTCTTTGTTAAATGTGGTGACATTGATATTGTTTTCATTTCTTTTTCTTAAAAATATGATTACTGTTCCGGAATTTCCGATTAATACTTATATTTCGTCAAGTATATATGCACCAAAGCTTTATCAGGTAATTACATTTTTCGAATTATGTAACATTACCAGGTTTAACCATGTATTCATTTGACGTCTTGGTAAGACTTCCGCCCGTATCCCCCTAACTTTTAACGATGAGGAAAAATTCCTTAGAGTGGCATTTTCAGAAGTTGGATTTGTATTTCAGTATGTTTAGATACAATTAAAGAAACTTGTTAAAACTCATCCTTATCAGATTAGGAATATATACATACATTTAGGTGATATGATTTGACTAGAATGAAATTTAAGGGGGGATACGAGCAGAAGTCTTTCCCCCGAAAGATGGGACTTCCCAACCCCCTTTCTATGACGGAACATCAGTTTGTAACAAGACGTGGTTGTTCTCTTCCAATGTGGTCTGTTTCTACCAATAGGCAGCATCGTCGGGGTGGCAGATGGAACCGTGGGAACGGCGAACACTGCAGCGACTGTCAATGGAGGGATGGGAAACACCAACGTGCATTTCAACCGTGTGTACTCCCGTTTGTTTGATGCGGGGAAGGGTCCAGATAATAACACCCAAACTTGAATTTCATTCTGATGTTTTACACAAATATGACAAATAAATATTATTTTTTAAAGACGTTACTATACCTTGTCTTGTCTGAAACAAACATATATCGCAGTAAGCCTTTCAGTCTCCACAACCTAAGAATGCTATACAGCGAGTCCTCTATATTACCGGAGTACATGACAACAAAGAAGTGTTTTTTTGTTGGTTTTTTTTGGTTGCTTTGTTAAGGTGTTCATTAAAAAAAGAAAACAGAAAATACAGTCAAACAATAGCTGTACTCATCGAATAATTCGTCTGTTGAGGAATAAAAAACATCATTTGAGTTGGATGTACAAATGAGAAAATGGATTAAATGCATTGAACGAGGCGACTAAAGTGTTCTCACACATTAATCTTTGTGAAAGCTGCAATGTTTTCAAAATCGCTAATCCATGTCCAGTTGCCCAGAAATATCACGCAAGCCTTTCAAAGTACTTGGTTGGATGTTTGGGTGGCTCTTGTGACACACATTTGTATAGTGTTTACAATCTGAATGCGTTCAGTGAACTGTTTGCTTATGGAATTAGCCGGAAGCAACCCACGAGTAGTTTCGGTAGTGTATTTGTGTATTACCGAATGAATAGCGCCCCAGTCTGGTCTGATCTGCATGGTATATTTAGCTTACTGAATGCCATACAATAGACTCAGCTAAACCGACGGTTGCTTTCAGGTGTGAGGGGAGGTGGAGGTGTGGTGTATGGTGTGTGTCATAGAGAGAGTTAATAAGTGTGACTGTGTACATATTAACACGTGTGATTGTGTATATACGAACACGTGTGATTGTGCATATATGAACATGTGTGATTGTGCATATATGAACATATGTAATTGTGTATATATGAACACGTGTGATTGTGTATATATGAACATGTGGGATTGTGTATATATGAACACGTGTGATTGTGTTTATATGAACATGTGTGATTGTGTATATATGAACATGTGTGATTGTGCATATATGAACATATGTGATTGTGTATATATGAACATGTGTGATTGTGTATATATGAACATGTGTGATTGTGCATATATGAACATGTGTGATTGTGCATATGTGATTGTGTATATATGAACACGTGTGATTGTGTATATATGAACACGTGTGATTGTGTTTATATGAACATGTGTGATTGTGTATATATGAACATGTGTGATTGTGTATATATGAACACGTGTGATTGTGTATATATGAACATGTGGGATTGTGTATATATGAACATGTGTGATATTGTATATATAAACGTGTGATTGTGCATACGTGAACACGTGTGATTGTGTATATATAAACGTGTGATTGTGTATATATGAACACGTGTGATTGTGTTTATCTGAACATGTGTAATTGTGTTTATATGAAATGTCTGATATTGTATATATGAACATGTGTGATGTATATATGAACATGTGTGATAGTGTTTATATGAATACGTGTGATTGTGTATATATGAATATGTGTGATTGTCTAGGTTTGAACATGTGTAATTGTGTATGTATGAAAATTTGTGATTTGGAATATATGAACATTTGTTATTGTGTATATATGAACATTTGTGATTGTGCATATATAAACATGTGTGTCCATACTGGTTTGTGTTTTTGTCCTCACACACATATACATTGCTTGCAGTTACACTATTACACTATGCTACATTTATTCATAAATTGGTACACAAATATAGTGGTCATAAAACTTGATAACAACTTCAGTGTACCAGCCGACATCGGAGGACCGAGGGGAGGTCGTTATATCCTGTCTGAGGGCTCTGAACCGTGGCGAGGGTAGGCACACTTCTCACTTTATACATGATGAGGCCGAGATGCAGTGCATTATCGGGGTAAGGGTGTTCTAAACACCCCGCGTGGTGAAGCTAAAGCTTCTGACACAATACGAGGCTAAAACTATTACATTGATATTGTCCAAACGTACAAATTTCATATTAAGCGTCAAAATTCCACTCCTTCTGACAGGACTACTGGTAGATGTTAGTGTGGTGATCTGATATAATGGCGCTGTTTTTCCCAGATATAGCACACTTAATGAATGAGTTTCAACCATGGGGACACGAGGAACGCCAACCGAACTAGTCCAGAGCCTGCAGGACTCCTCCATCTAACTGTACGTTAAATGTTGGTACCTACCAGCTGTACGTTAAATGTTGGTACCTATCAGCTGTAATGTTAAATGTTGGTACCCTACCAACTGTACGTTAAATGTTGGTACCTACCAACTGTACGTTAAATGTTGGTACCTACCAGCTATACCTTAAGTGTTGGTACCTACCAGCTGTACGTTAAGTGTTGGTACCTACCAGCTGTACGTTAAATGTTGGTACCTACCAACTGTACGTTAAATGTTGGTACCTACCAACTGTACGTTAAGTGTTGGTACCTACCAGCTGTACGTTAAATGTTGGTACCTACCAGCTGTACGTTAAATGTTGGTACCTACCAGCTGTACGTTAAATGTTGGTACCTACCAGCTATACGTTAAGTGTTGGTACCTACCAGCTGTACGTTAAGTGTTGGTACCTACCAGCTGTACGTTAAATGTTGGTACCTACCAACTGTACGTTAAATGTTGGTACCTACCAACTGTACATTAAGTGTTGGTACCTACCAGCTGTACGTTAAATGTTGGTACCTACCAGCTGTACGTTAAATGTTGGTACCTACCAGCTGTACGTTAAATGTTGCTACCTACCAGCTGTACGTTAAGTGTTGGTACCTACCAACTGTACGTTAAGTGTTGCTACCTACCAACTGTACTTTAAATGTTGGTACCTACCAACTGTACGTTAAGTGTTGGTACCTACCAACTGTACGTTAAGTGTTGCTACCTACCAACTGTACTTTAAATGTTGGTACCTACCAACTGTACGTTAAATGTTGCTACCTACCAACTGTATGTTAAGTGTTGGTACCTACCAACTGTACGTCAAATGTTGGTACCTACCAGCTGTACGTTAAATGTTGGTACCTACCAGCTATACGTTAAGTGTTGCTACCTACCAATTGTACTTTAAATGTTGGTACCTACCAACTGTACGTTAAATGTTGCTACCTACCAACTGTACGTTAAGTGTTGCTACCTACCAACTGTACGTTAAATGATGGTACCTACCAGCTGTACGTTAAGTGTTGCTACCTACCAGCTGTACGTTAAGTGTTGGTACCTACCAACTGTACGTTAAGTGTTGCTACCTACCAACTGTACGTTAAGTGTGCCAGTATTCAATATTGCGGTTCAGTTACTGATCCACTGTACGTAAATATTCAGTGACGCAATATAGCTACAGTCATCTGTGGATAGGGTACGTTACGATAGGCATTATTCAATAGTGCGGCACAGAGTCACTGTACTTCAAGTGTCACAGCAGTTGATAGTGCAGTCAAGGTACCTACCGGCTGCACTTAAGTTACAATGTTCAACATAGCAGTAGAGTTACCGACCATTAGTAGATTAAGTGTCAGTGTATTCAGAAGGTCCATACAGTTTCACTGTACTCGGCCTACCACATCACAGCCCAGCATATGCTTTCGCATTGAATACAGAGATAGGAAATCGAAACATTAGTGATGTAATTAAACGCTTTTTCTCAGAACAGATAAAACAGTTATATAATAATTCAGAATCAGGTAGATAAACATTAATGTTTATCCCATTGGGATGTTAATCTCAATCGTATTATCAATTTTCAGTACGGCACACACATCTTCACCCCTCACTTGTCATGGAGGAGCCTTGCACAATTGAGAGTCACATGCTTTCGAGACAGTCGGATGGCAGTTCGAGATCCTCCATGAGCTTGGACCCAGCTCTATGTTGGTGTTGTATGACATAATTTTTATTGTAACGTACATGCTACGCAATGGAGAGAGCCCTCACCTACACCAGGGACACTATATAACGTAGATTATCCCTGCCTACACGCATAATATGAAATAAAAGAAATGCGACTTAAAGTAAATTTGATTGGGTGTTGGACTAAATGTAATCGCATGAAGTCTTTGTCATGTCGTTTTCTATATGTTCCAGGTACCGTAAAGCCCCGCATCAGTGACAATAGCTTCGTCGCTCATCCCGAAGACGACATAAGTGCTTGTCTCGCTGTATCTCACGAGATGTATTCTTGCGAGACTTTATCTCACAGAACTATTGACCTAACTCCGTGTACGTTAAGTTTATCTTGATCTGAACTTGATCTTGTATTTTATTGACAAATCGTTACTTTTTAGTTAAATCAACTTTGTCCTCAACAATCTGTCATCGGTATCTTTGCATTATCAGATGAGGAAGCCACAAGTCAGAAACTCAGCAAGTGTCACGTGACACACCCTGAGGAGGACACCAGTGCAGAGATCAGCCTTGAAACATATCCACAGAAGGCTACCAGCATCGAAAGTAAGTAAATCTTTGCTTATGTAATTATCTGACCATCTTTCTACTGATACGAATTTCTCTTCTGGAGGCAATGGGGTTGACTTCGTTTAGACGTCCAGTTCCACTCTTGCTGAACAAGGCAACTCGGGTTATGACACTTCCGTATCCCCCCTGTTGACCAGTCACATCCATCCATTACTTTAAACCGATTGCGGTGCCAAGTCAAGGTGATCTGGTCTACAATCAAGATATAATTGTTTGTTTGTTGTTGTTTAACGCCGCACTTATAGTCCGTTTGGCTCAAAACAGAACCGATGAATTGCAATCTAACTCGAAAACTAATAAACATAAAATACTCAATGAAACGCTAATCATAATAAAAAATCATACCCACTCTGTGATGCTTTTGCAGAATTTCTGTCCTAAAAATAAAAAAGTTGTTTAACAATCTATCATTAAAATATTGACACAGTTCACTATTTGTTACGAGGGAGGAGTGCAGAGAAAGGGACAGCCAGGTTTTCGAGAACGGATAGAGACGGCACAGCACAGGAAAATGAAAAAATAACTATGTCTGTGAACGTTCTTCTCGAACACCTGGCTGTCCCTTTCTCTGCACTCCTTCCTCATAACAAACAGTGAACTGTGTCAATATTTTAATGATAGTTTGTTAACCAACTTTATTATTTTTAGGACAAAAATTCTGCAAAAACCTCACAGAGTGGGTATGATGTTTTGATTATGATCAGCGTTTCATTGAGTATGTTATGTTTATTAGTTTTCGAGTTAGATTGCAATTCATCGGTCCGCATTTGAGCCAAACGGACTGTAGCAATAAACCAGATATATAGTAGCGGTCTGTATTTAGTCGAGTCTGGATCACACAATCTTGTGATCAACATCATCAGCATCGATCTACGCAACTGGGATACGATGACGTGTTTTGGATCTGGGATTCGAACCAGGATTTGACACACTTTGTTAATCTCAAACCCTCTTTATTGGTTACGGTCATGATTCGTCTTCCTGGTGAAAGGGAGATAGCTCACTACAAAAGTGTAAACTACACTCCCATAGCTTGAAAGATTACTTCCATGTTCCATGACGATGGTTATGATCAAGGGGGAGTATTCTGTGTATGAATGTCTCTAGTTTCATGCGTTATCATGAGTAGGAACTAGCAATGTTTCATATTGGAAATACTTACACACTGTGGTCTGTTCAACAGGTGCAAGGTACACCAGGATCAGTGGCAACTGGCTTCGAACTCATCCAGTTGACGATCAAAACAGCCTTTATACCTGTCCGCTGTCTCTGAAAGATGACCTCTCCCAAAGTGAGTTCATTCTCAAGACTCCGTTCCTCCCATTCACCATGATGTGGGGACACGCATTCCACCTTTACATGTTGAAACAGGACAAAAAAAATACCCACCCAGTTAGATGTCTCGAAGTAATGTAGTGTACTTGTAGGATGTACAGGATAAACACAAAGGTATTATTGAAGACCAGATGTGTCGAACCATGTGCTTACATGCCTCATTTGTAAGATTGTGTATTTGAAAGTTCATATTGCATTTATATTGTTCAAGAACACCAACGTGTTTGATACCCCGATAAGCAGTTCATGTAACTTTGGAATCGTCCAGTAACTCCGGACTGAGCTTTGAGCTGAGATTCTTATGATTACGGAAAGTTTTTTTCGTTTTTCTTTACATGTAGTTACGTGCGCTTATTGGATCAAGTACTGTAAGGCCTATACCATTATATATTCCACATGTGACTGCATGTGAAATGCAGGGGTGGAAATAACCCATTGCCCGAGTCGCGTGTTTTTATCTGTCGGCCAAGCAAATTTGTATATCACGCTGTACCGGTGTCCAGTTGACTTTCCAATGTTATGTTTATTTAAAAAATCAACAAGAAAATGGCCGGTATAGTGGAAAAATGATCAGGGCAAGTGATTTTACATGTGTCACTGTACCGGAGTACACTAGCAATTTTAAAGTTATGTCCACCCCTGTACATGGAACATTAAATGTCACCAACTGCCACATGAGAATGTCATTCAACAGGTGTGAGTCTGACTCACGTATCCCATCCAGACGTTAGCAGCAACAGCAACAGCCTTATCGGAATTGCCAACATCTTCACCAGCGAGCTACCACCCGAGTGTGAGTCAGTCAACCCATTTGTAGGTCCAAACGTATTTACATCGGTTTGTTTGCTTTTGAAATTTAACGCTGCACTCTGCAATATTCCCACTGTAAAGCATATAAAGCATAATGTATGTATGAATAGATAATCAAATCTGAACTGGACAATCCAGTGATTGACATTTTGATCATGAGCATCGATCACACAATACGGCATACATCGTGAGATACGATGACACGCGTCAACCAAGTCAGTGAGCCTGATCACTCCGTCGCGTTAGTCACCTATTGTGACAAGCATGGGTTGCTGAAGACCAATGTTAACCCGGAAAAGTTTGAACCATTATATGGGTATTTAAATGTATTGGTCTCTCATGTTGACACTGTTTTTCATCCTTCCACAGCTGTAACGTGTTACAGTATGGGAAACAAGTCTTTTGTTCCTCATTCTTTGGAGGACACAGTCGCCATTTTCGATAGGACAGATGATGTTTTAGCTGAAGACACAACCTTTCGTAAGTTTAGAAGACAAAAGAACATCACAATCATTTGTAAAACGGTCAAAATGTCAAAACTATGTTGAAAGTGTGTGAAAATTGTGTGTGACACCATCAAATATAGTTAATTGTTCAGTTTAATATATCAAACCATGCTGCCATGTTGTGCGTCCTTGTACATGGATACAACTAGCAATAAGGGAAGAACCACCTTGTTTTATCCCCACACCATAGTTGACTTGTTTTAGTTTTATGCATCTGTAAGTTCAGAATGCAGTATTCCTCTTGTACCCGACACACAAGCAAACATACTTTTAAACTGCTTAAACCAACGTATTACCATTCCGAAAAGTCAGGAGCATCACAAGTGACACAGAGGCATGATTCAGAAACAAATGATCGTTTTACTCATAAAAAGGTTTTTCACCTTGTCATATTTCGTAATTGAAGGAAACGCAAAGTAAGGTGATCTGAAGTATATTATTTGTCTATAATGGCAATGCATTATTCAATATATCGATTTCTTTGTCATAAATGTATTGCAAAGTGTGTCTTATCCGGATTTTCATTTCCTCTACAGGTAAGATGGTAGATGGCAGCAGCAGTATCGGCAGCCAAGCGGATGATGACCATGGCGAGAGTCTGACCTTCAGGAAAACCTTCGACCCAGACACTAGTCACGTAGAGGCAGAGCGTTCATGTACGTTAACAAAATACTTCTATATGGCTCACGATCCCCCACGCATTAAGAACAGAATTAGGTCAGCAAAAATAATGTCAATTACAAAACAGATTAAGGACATCTTGTAGACTTAAAGTGGGTCAAAGAATTTTATCCATTAAACCTACCGAATTCCAACGGCACAGGCGTTCATCGAGGCGGTGCTCCAGAGGTTAAAGTCTCGCTGATGACGCAGGTTTGATGCCTAGCGTGGGTACCATATGCATGTGTAAAATCCATTACCGGGTACCCTGTGTGTTCTTGGGGAATAGTGCTAAAATCTGAATAAAACTATATCATTCACTCGCCTTGTCAATGGAATATATGGCAAGATGTGTCTTTGCATCTGGGTTTGTTGGTACGGTCACCCACGGTTGTGTCGAACTTTGCTATATTAAATGTACGGTTATCTCGAAAAAAAGCTTGGTCCTAGCGTATTCATAATAAAGTCTCAATTTGCGGTTGTAATATGGGGTTTAGTCGAACCTTGGATAACTCGAAGTATTTATGTAGGTTCCTTCAACTTCGACACAGCCGTATTTGACTGTATTTTAGTATTTGAGGTAACAAATGGGCATGTTATGTCGTACGTTCTATTATAGGTTCACTATACGAGCCTGTCCTGTACTCTGACACAAGTTTCCACAGCCTCAACGTTAGAGACCAAGGAGGGGTCCTAGAGGACGCTTCACGTAGGAGGCCAATGTCACACAGCCCCGCAGGAGCAGGTGGGTCCAGGACCCCGCACCCCCGCCTATTCCCTCTTTTTCCCAGTGAAATTTTAACTAGCGATATTTTGTTCAACACCTCCCCCAACTGACCAACATCTACGCACAGAGAATACTTGTTTGATACAAGGCCCATTTTTAATGAATAAAAAAATGTTTTGGATTTAATCCTTAGGTTTAAAAAATAGTAAACTACGCATATAACGCACTGTTGGATATAATGATTTGTATTTCTAGTCCCGACCACTTGTAGTATAACGAACAAAAGACAGGGGTATCTTACAACAGTATTTTGCCTTGTGTTTATTTATTGTTTTGTTACCGAATATGAACGGCTGAATATTCCAGCTATATGGCGGCGGTCTGTAAATAATCGAGTCTGGGCCAGACAATCCAGTGATCAACAGCATGAGCATCGTTCTGCGCAATTGGGAACCGATAACATGTGTCAACCAAGCCAGCGAGTCTGACCACGGTAACGGTACTATTTCGACATAGTTGAACTGAACACTCCGATCAATCTTTGTTATACAGATGTAGTCCCAGGTTTCGTCCACTGTCAACATGCTGGAACTACCATGTACCTGTGTAACTTATTTCCTTGAACGTTTTAGGTATTGTCGGTTCAAACATTCAGTACCCAGTGATATGCCAAAATCGCCCGATTGAAACGGATGTTGACTATATCATGCATGGTAAGTAATCTTTATCAAAACAATAAAGAGCATCTATATTTGCCCTTAACTACATATGGAAAGGGGCTTTCCGCAATGTAAATATGACTAGTTTTTCTTCTCAAACCTCCACCTGTATGTAACTCTGAAGATATTTCAGGATTATAGTAGATTTGAATGTATATACCCAGATGCACACATCCACGGTCAGTATGAGGGAGCATTAGGGCCGGGACGGGTCCAAATTTTCTACCCGGGGACCCCACCCCTCATTACCCTAGCCTGATACTCATTATGTTAATTCCTGTCATCAAATTTGTAAGAAATGGTAATATATTCTTCAGCCCAGAGGATAAAATTTCGAGTGTTTCAATATGACTGTAAATTATATCTAAATCTTCAAAGACAATACAACCTTTTAACCATGAAAGAATAACATATTACATTTGTTTTATCTAGTAGTTCTAGTAGTCACATGATATAACGGGTCCGGGCATTGAGACGGGCGAGATTTTGAAAAGTGTCACGCGACCTTGTAAATAAGGTCAAGGTCACCCTGAAATGACTGGTGTCGACGTAATTACCTAATGTAGGCTGTCGACATAATGGAAGACATTGGGTGCAACGTTTAATGAGATATCGCGATTACGTCCGTTTGAAAAGTGATCAAAGTGTCATGGTGACCTGGAAGACAAGGTCACCCAAATCGACTGGTGTCTGTGTAATCCCTCAATGTAAGCTGTAACTAAATATGAAGATATTGGGTACCAGAGTGCATGAGATATCATGTTAACAAGAGTATAAAAGTGGGCAAAGTGTCGTCGTGACCTTGAAAATAAGGCCAAGTTCACCCAGATGGACTGGTGTCTGTGTAATCGTCACCAAATTTGAAGACATTGGGTACAACAGTTCATGAGATATCGCGTTAACAAGAATCGCGGCGGGGGACGAAAATATATAAAATATTTTTCACTAATTTTGTAGCATAATTTTTGAATTTTTAAAATTTATTTCACTTGGTAATACCCCACAAGTGGAAAGTTTATTAGTATTTACTTTTTCACTTTTTCACTTTTCACCCATAAATTAATTTATGTTGTAAATAATCAAGAGACTTTGCTTCGGTATAAATTTTTCCTTCAAAAATATTCAATAAGGAAAGATCCAGCTGATCTTTTTGTGTATGAGTGTTCAAGGGTAAGAGTATAATGTTTTAGCACATCGGGGCATATACTTCCTGTTTATAACGAAGATTAGAAAGCATTGGGTTTTTTCAATGGGAAACGCGAGATCGGAAACACAGAACAAAATATCTCTGCAATTCTTGATCCAAGCAGTACCTGTTTCACCTGACTGACCATTGACTGACCGTACAGCACTTGTCCCACTGTACACATTTGATCCCTAGATGCAGTTGCCACCGCCAACCCTAACAGCATCAATGGACCGGCATCTACTGATGATTTCTCCATATGTCCATATGGCAGAGAAGATCTCTCACCATGTACGTGAAACAGAAACATTCTGTTATTGAGTGAATGGTTACTTATGATGTAATGAGGAATGTTCCAGCCAATCACGACGTCCAATAAATACACGAGTGAAGGTCAGACGTAACGTCAGACAGCGTCATTTTGAACCAAGCACAAGTGGCATGTTTAACACAAAATCAGCCATGTTACACACTGTTATAGTCTTCTTTGAGTGGCATTTTAGAAGGTGGGAAGTACAATATAGAACAAACTTTATGGATAACAACTTCTTTTTATTCGTGAGTGCGACGTTTAACATGCTTGACAACGGTACAAGAATCTGTATCGAAACGTCATGCTTGACAACGGTACAAGAATCTGTATCGAAACGTCGCACTCACGAATAAAAAGAAGTTGTTATCCATAAAGTTTGTTCTATACTGATATAGTCGTACACTGATTCGTCGTAGCAAGCAATAGGTACTGGAATATGACTAATTTGCCGGGGACATAAAACATCTTCAGTAAATATATATGTCAGAAACACAAGAGAACACCCAGTCTTGATTATCCGCAGAAACAGAATCCCCTCGGCGTAAAAGGCAAAATAGCTATGAAAATTATATGAATGCATCTGTGAAAATTAGGGTTGAGCTTTTGCTGCTGTACGACCGGTAGAGCAGCATGGGTAATATTCTTAATTGACCTCTGCGGGGATACACCCACACCAAGGAGCTTCATCTTCTTGCCCCGGGTTCGAATCCCCACATCGGTAAAATGTGTGAAGCCCATTTCTGGTGTCCCCCGCCGTGATGTTGCTGGAATATTGCTAAAAGCGTCGTAAAACTAAACTCAGTCAGTCAGTCAGTCAGTCAGTCATCTTCTTGCACTGTGTCGAGGTCACGTTCACGAGAATGCACTGCATATTCATATGATGTTTAATGACATCACATCCACGTTAAAATTTGCCAGATATGTACAGTCTATATGCAAAATGTTAATGTCAATGTTTTCGTTTAATGCAATCTCACTGTACACATTTAATTGATCCCTAGATGCAGTTGCGACCGCCATCCCTAACAGCATTAATGGACCAGCATCAATTGCCGATCTCTCCATATGTCAGGATAGCACAGAAGACCCTACACCATGTGAGTGAAACAGAAATATTCTGTTATTGAGTGAATGGTTATTTATGCGGCAGTGAGCAATATATCAGCCAATCACGACGTCCAATAAATTCACGCGTGAAGGTCAGACAGCGTCAATTTGAAGTGGCATGTTTAACACAAAATCAACCATGTTACACACATGTTATACACCGATTTTTTGTTATGTGTAAGCACTGATTAGGTGATAGTTATGATGGGTCACAATGGTTAAAGTTTTTAGTGTGAGTTGTGGGTCATATTTGCATCATATATGTTCAATGGCAATACTATTTCTAGCGGTACGCCTTTGTGATAGCGCTCCAGAGTTACCTGCCCTTGACAATCTTTTGACTTCCGCCACTCGCGAAAGTTCTGAGAGAATAATGATACAGCCACGCGTTACTCGAATTTTCTAGACACTGTGTCACTATATATAAGGGCTGGTTATTGTGTTCACACACACACACGGAATTACTCGGGGCTTTTCATCACTGGAGTTGTGTACATCTGTCTGCCATCGTCTGACCTACATTCAAGACTGCCTGCCTAACTGCTCTCACTGTAAACAAGCTTCAATTAGTATATCTACTCTCACTGTAAATGCCAAGACTCTGGTGAGTTAATAGTTCATATTTGTGACCCATTACTTTAGATTTGTGGCTCAGTTGCATTGTATTAGAAATCTGTATTGTCATTCATTGTAGCTTGCTCATTGTTTGCTCAATATATTTTTGAATATTTTAGACTTGTCCGTGTTATATTTTGCTGGTTCAAAGGGAATTCTTAAACCTTGTGTCACGGCAATTATTTAACCGTAACAAGGAAAATTGTCATGTACGTTGAATGAAAGGCGAGTTCACAGGGGTGCTGTTGTACAAAGCAACCTTAGCGCAATGACTGCCTTAAGTCTACGTTAAGGTATGGGTCACCTTAGCGCTAAGATCGCTTTGTAGAACGGCACCCAGGATGCACGGACATATGCAAATATTTAGTGACATCACAGCCACGACCACGTTTGCTAGATGTGATTCCATTCCAAAATGTTAATGTCATTATAATTTATTGCATGTAAGGTTTACAAACACATTTTCATGAAATGTTCTGTAGGTATAATCATTACAACGATGCGGGCACACACCACACGGCCAGATGAATCCCGAACCACAGGCCTTGCCCCCCAACATGGCGTGTACAGGGTCCAGTTTGACATGGACCTAAACTACTGTACGTACAGCTTTCTATTTATACCTCAGTAGCTATTTACGTATGGCAGTCGTACAAATTATATATTTATCTGTGAGAGTTCATGATGACAATAACTAGATAGTCTGGTCTGTATTCACGTAGATATATTGCTTTTTAAAGTATGCTCTATAGAAATTTTACCTGCAGTTTGGGGCATAAGAATAATTACGATTGTTTTTCAACTTCCAACAGGTATGAGCCCGAGTGGAAGACGCAGCTACATTGAACAATTAGAACCGCCTAGTACAGACTCCTGGGACTACGTTTGTCGTCAGGAATACACCTCCCACAGCTCTTTCTGTACGTTTGTTGGTGTTTAACACTGCTCTACATGGCTGCTTGTATATAATCAAGTATGAACCAGACAATCCGGCGATCCACACCGCCATGGTACAGTTACGTGCCACCATATCGCCTGGTCACCTTGACTGATCACCCGATCATAGCTTCGTACGACCTGAGTTCCGATCCACAAAGCGTTCGTAGTTTTACGAGCTATCGTAGCTGTGTAGTTGATCATAAGATTACGAATGACGTAGTGCTACGAGCGTTTTGTGGTTCGGGCGCCAGGATTTTAGGGAACAATTCCAACCAGAATCACCACAGTGACACTGGGGCAGTCGAGTGATTATTTAACGAATAAAGTGGTAATAGTGTGAGCGTTAGTGATAGACTTAGATCAATGTTCTGTCTGGGATACCCCTGAATCTAAGAAAAGAGGTGTGTTAGCCCACTGAGGTCACATGCTGCAATCTGATCTTGTTTACTCCACCGAGACACTGGTTCCCAGGATATGCTGCGCATGCCCTTCACTGCTGACGCTTCCATACACGTTACTCATAGCCAACTGTTTTCCAGAGTACAACACACCAGTTCAGCACTAAATGTCACTTACTTGAACATACCTCTGCACACATTCAGCGTAAGTCACTGTTATAAAATAGACAGCACAAAATGGTCAAATATATGGTCGGTTTAATTATGGGATGTATGTACATTTTAAACAATGTTGCAAAACAAAATCATCCAATCACAGCTGTCAGATGATTCTGTGTGCACTGAAGGCTACGAAACGTGCTTGTTCAACTACGGGATCTGATTTGGCATTATGCATTCCTAAAGCACCAGCGCAGCATACCCAGGGAACCAGACTGATATTGGTTACTAACTTGGAACTGTCCAGCTGGTTTATCCTCATAATGCCGAACGTGAGGTAGGCGTTCTTTTTACATGACGCCAAGGAACCCCTAAATCTCCCAACCCGTCCCCAACCCTATCTCCCAAACTTTATTCACTTCACCACTGGCCGGTTAAGAGCAAACCGGATTAACTGTTTAATGTGTTTAGGCATATATCATTTCTACTATTGCAGACCAATTTTAAAATATATACAATTAAAAATATCAACTGAAGACATTTTCTGTTTTACATTTTCAGGTAAGGTTTCTGAAGCATGGAAAGAGATATACTGACAGTAATCGGGCATGGAGAGATATTGTTGGTGAATCCTTGTGGACAGAGACTCCCGCGACAGAAACTGACCAACAACATCATGACTGTTTGATTGTTGTTTTACGCCGCACTCAGCAATATTCCAGCTATTAGGTCCAGTGATGAACAGCATTATCATCGATCTACGCAATTGGGATACGATAGCATCAGCAGAATGGAACATGAGTGTGTTTGGTTACAGCCACATGAAAGGCCGTGTCATCTTGCTGAAGGACCATGACGCCATAAACACGAGAATGGTGCTGAAAAACACAAAATCATGGTAATGCCAACCCCCAACGACGTTTGGGCGACAAGAAGCCATTCAATGAAATGTCATTCAATTGACATACGTAGGAATTACGTCACGGGTGTGTTGACACAGTGATGTCCAACGCCAATTTGGTCGTCTTTCCCAGTCAGGTTCCAACAATCTTCAAAGCCCACTTTTCTGTGTCATTTTCGGCAGTAATAAGTGTCTGTCATAACTATCATGCTGTTACCGATACCACTGACGTCGCGTATTCAAATGACGACCAGTGAACTGCGGCACATTAGAGACAGTGGAGTTCAGTCACCACCAAGTTCACTCATTCACCACAATGAACACAGTTCATAATGATTAGTGAACTCAGTCATTAAAAGTAATCAAATATGACATGAGGCATGGGGGCTATAAAGCAGCAATTTAGTTTTATAAGTCATTCAACAATGACAAAGACACGTGTTCAATTTGTACCCAATTCTTGGGGTGCCAGAGTTTAGTATTCAATGGTTATAAGTTTAGAGTGAAATTGAGAAGAAATGTCCAGTGGAGATGCTGTAAGAAAGGTTGTGTATTTGTTGATGTTACCTGCTATATGAGTAAAATTTAAAATGTCTCCATATTTGTCAAATTATGTATATTCGTGTATTTATTGAGTTTGCGGGTGTTATATGCAATAAACAAAATGTGATAAACTTAACGGTTTCTCCTTAATTGCTGGCATACTTGCATTGCTAATACAGACTATAGCCTGCATCCCCATTGTTCTAAGGATTAGTACGGTCCATTGACTTTAATACCTAAACAATACCTGCAGGCAAGAAGAGAACACCCTGCACGTAGTTGCCATCTTACCCGATCTCTGTCAGCGTCAAGACACCAAGGGACTGTGGCAACCCGTCCATCTTCTGAGTTGCAGTTTGCAACCGAGTATCTTACGCCACCGTCCTGACTTATCTGACTAATTACGGGGTTAAAATGTTTATGGTAGAGAATTGTATCGGTCCCACACTGACGATGACAGAATGAGAATGATGCAGCGTTAGGGCAACAGTATTCTGACTTGTTTCATCAGTAACATGCTTGTTGCATGTAAATGTTCAGCAGGTTGAAAACGTCACATGATTAAAATGTTACTACCTCAATGATTAATGATTTGTGTTTGATGAAGTGTCTTTGAGCGGTTTGTTGGTAAAAACAACATACATGGCAAGATTTAAAATCATTTAATGTAACACAAGATACTTAAGAGGGAAATAGCGTGATAATTTTCCGGGTTGTTTTACCACCTTTTCATTCATTATCATACAATGTGTTAAAATGATTTAGATGTTTTCCCCAGCAGCCTAATGATATTCAAGCTATTAATGGTTGACTGGATTTCGCTCTGGCTAATGGATGCACCCAATATACCGTTAATTATGTCCTGTGTCAGACTATCAGGTATTAATGTGCATGAATTTACTGTAATGTTATTTTCAATTTGGCGCGAATATGAGATGTACTTTAGCTTACTCGAAAACTGACTGACTGACTGAGTTTGGTTTTACGCCGCTTTCAGCAATATTCCAACAATATCACGGCGGGGACACCAGAAATGGGCTTCACTCATTGTACCCATGTGGGGATTCGAACCCTGGTCTTCGGCGTGACGAGCCAACGCTTTAACCACTAGACTACACCACCACCCCCTTACTCGAAAACAATTTGGGATAAGTAAATGAGTCTGAGAGCTCGCTCATACTTTGTTTTCAAATTTAGGTTTTGCATCTCTACGTCTCTTGCATCTTTTGTATATTTAGTCACTGAGGAAAGTCTTGAAGACCGTTCTTGATTCCAGGAATTAAGCTTAAAACATTGGTGTTTTCTGATGCTAATCTCGTCCGCATTGGGCAAATAGATAGACGCAAGTCAAGTCCTATTATTTCGTTCGTTTGTTTGTTGTTAAACGCCGCACTCAGCAATATTCCAGCTATGGGGATTCGATGAGTCGCCTATAACGATGTCCATTATGAATGCCATTTGTGTTTATTGTTTAGTGGCGCAGCTATATGGCGGCGGTCTGTAAATAATCGAGTCTTGACCAGACAATCCAGTGATCACGAGCATCGATCTATACAACTGGGATACGATGACATGTGTCAACCAAGTCAGCGAGCCTGTCACCCGATCCCGTTTGTCGCCTCTCACGACAACCAATGATTACAGACGAACAATTCTAACCCTGATCTTCACGGGAGAATGTATAAAATACATATCCCCAAAATGAAGTGTCATGGACAATTGCAAATGGAATGAATATGGACATTCAAAATGTTATATCAACACGGAGACATTTTGAAGAAAGCAAAATGGCCGATTGAATTCAGTATCGGTTCCATTGTTCCAACATGTTTGTTTTGTCTTCGATGCGGTTACCTCCCTTCTGATCTCATTTACCCTGTTGGACACATTTTCCAACACATTATGTTAGTGGTGTATTTAGGGATTTCCTACAAAATACAACCGAGTAACTAACAATGTGAAGGTAATGTGTAATATCCTTACAAAAACTGAATTGCCACAGACAATTGTAGTGAAAATTGTACGAATAAATGGTTGGATTTCCATTACAATTACCCCTAAACCATGTGCCCACGGAATTTTCACAGAAACATTAGGCTAGCAGTCCATCCCATTATAACATGTTCATCACAGAGGAGTTGTCCATTCCAGGAAGTAGAAGAAGGTATAAAAGGCTGGAACGGATTTTGGACCATTTCTCCGTTGAACCGGAAGCTGGCAGGGGTAATGGAGGCGAAGAACGATTTGATATGCCGCGAGTGGCGCTCAAAATGTTGAATCAAATATATTTTATGTGAGTAATTATTAAATAAGAGGTTGGAAATCTGAGAGCACAACCCTGTGAGGAAATGGATGTTTACGTTGATTGTGGCGATATCTATTTTGATTTTAAAATTATTTTTCGAACCGAAGCGAGGGAGGAACGTTGCCAACCTTTGCTCGCTTCGCTCGCATATAGAAAGACTGGTCATTTTTCTCTCTGTAGCGCAAACATTTTTCTGCTAAAATTGGTTTAAACATATTTATTCAGTTAATCATGTAGGGATTGGCAAACAAGCACAATACATGCTTATATCAATGCCGCTCCCTAACTGCGCTACAGTTTGCCTATGACTAACTACAGCAGGTCTATCTTACCTTCAGCATCTCAACTGAATTGTACTATTCGTCATACATAAAGTTACAATGTGC